TGACTCAGTAGACCAGTGACCCATAAGATCACATTTCTCTTTTGACATACTCCACTCCCGTCAACACAAGAAACTTAGCTTGCTTAGTTTCCGTTTAGTCTATCCCACATTCCCTGAACCACATCACTTTTCAATCCTCCCAGCCCTAACTGTAATACAAAAGCCCTGAATCAGTGAATGAAGAAAGTCTAGTTTGTCCTAAGGATCTGAATCTCATCTCACTGGTCGGGACCATTTCAATGTAAATGGAGTTCTATGTTTCTATCATAACATGATATATACAGAGAATAAGCGTTGGTCCAAGTTTCGAGTGTACACATGCTACAGTGAAAGTGAGTGAGTGTGTTTGGTATTATACCGCTTTTAGCAATATTCCAGCCATATCACGACGGGGGTCACCACAAATGGGCTTCACACATTGTACCCATGTGATGTGGGCTACAGTGAACTAGTGAGTGAGTTTAGTTTTATGCCCCTTTTAGCAAATTATATTCCAGCAATATCAAAGGTCTTCGGCATGATGAACAAAGGCTTTAACCAGTAAGGGCTGCACAATATAACCGGTTTACCAGTATTTACCGGTTCAGACATGAAAACAATACATATTGCGATACACTGATCAAAAACAGGTATTTTGACTTTCATTCGAAAACTTTGTAACACATGGAAATCTTCGGATATTTCCTTGTTTCATTTGTGCCAAATATTATTCACATTTATATTTTATCATGATTGATAGTTGCTATTAAAGCTGAATCAAGCATTGTGATTTTGTTGTGTTTTTGCTCTATAAATCAAGCATTAACTCGATTATAAGTAGTTTTGGTTTAAAAATACTTCATGCAATATATTGCAATACATATCGCAATACATGCTTTCGCATCGCAATATATCGCAATATGAAAATTCTCTGCAATACCCACCCCTATTAACCAGTAGACTACTCCAAATAATGAAAAATCACATTACCACTTATCAGATCACGCTATTCGTGAACACTGTGATCATGCACATGCATAATTCCAGAACAAAACAAACTCATGTGGTCCTGCAGATATATCTTCCTTTTAACAGTATGTTTATGTTTATTACTTTTAAAATGTGATGTGTCCAATACTGGCTGTAATAACTTATCTGTGAAGGAAGAGTGAGTGAGTGAGTGAGCGAATATGGTTTGTTTTATGCCACTTTTAGCCCAGTACTATCACCGCAGAAATGGGCTTCACTCATTGTACCCATGTGGGGAACTGAACCCGGGTCTTCGACGTGAGGAGCCAACGCTTTAACCACTAGGCTACCCGACAGCTCCCTGGGAAGGAAGGAAATTGACAAAGGATGTGCTTAAATTCAATTTGTCTTCTGAAGCCTAGATGTTAAGTAACCAAAAATACATCAAACATAATACTTGTTTCTAGTTTCCTCCTTTTAAGCAAAAACAGAGGTTTTGTAATTAGTGTCAGTTTTTAATGTTAAACACACATGTGACCAGGTTACTATAACTGGTAGACTGGCTGGGTGGGTTTACACGATGTGAGAAATATGTTGGTCCACCAGGCTAGGGCTGGTATGAATCATGTCAACGAGGCCAAGTGATTATCAAACTGAGCTGCCTGGTCTCAATACCGGACACTGCTGGAAAATATTATTATTAATTTGCAATTGACATAATCAGGTCAGTGAGATCTCCAAAAACTAACATTTTTCTATAGGACCTGGATTCTTCTGTGATGGTCCTGTTGTCAACTGGGAAGAAATATATGTGTCCAAGCCTCAGTCGTTTTGAACTTGACTGACTGACCCTATATCTACTGCTATGACCGCCAGCTGACCCGAGCACAAGCTCTGTCAAATGGCCAACTCTCCTTAGCATGTGTTTAGGCCCTTATTTCTTGCTTTATAAACTAAAATAACAGATAATTCAGTTTGTGTTTTGTTCTTGTGGAAAGATCGAGACTTTATGGTTAAAAATGCATTATAAAATTTTATGTCATTTTTGTGAACATAATAAATTATGATAATAATAATAATAATAATAATAGTCCATTTATATTGCGCGTTTATCCATGCACATTGCATGCTCAAAGCGCTGACGTATTACCCCTGGTCAACGAGTACAGAACACTCCATGTGGAGAATACAACCGGTCGCCTGTCAGGCGATCAAGGTTCAAATTCAGACTACCATCGTATCATACCAGTTACCCAATTTTACTGCTGGGTGGACAGAGGCAATTTTGAACAAACTCACTTGCCTAAGGTGAGACCACATGCGTAACATGTGCTTCGTTGTGGGACAGGACTGAAGTCCTAGAAACTTTCAGGAGTCAAGCTGCCAAACACGGTCACCCATCCAAGGACTGTCCGCAACCAACGTTGCTTAACTTCAACTGATTGTGATCTGAGCTCTACGCACAGGACCACACGCCGCCACATGAGCATGATGGATGGGGTTCTTTTTCACTAGTTTTTACATGACAACAAAGTGCATACCTAAAGTTTCAACATAAATATGATGCACTGATTAGTGATTTATCTGGACCTGCTCATAGGTCAATATTTGGCCCAAGATTTGCAGAAACTGACAGTAGAGATTCCCAGTTTGCATAAAAACATTAAGAAAAAATTTACTTTTCAACAATACCCTGACATTTTCCTAATTTGCCTGCCAAGGTAACTTGTGGTGTCCGTATAAAAACTAACATTTTCTAAAATATCACACATAGCTTGATGCAGTGTCAGTGAAGTAATGCAGGTGCTAGTGGTGTTCTGATGATCGAATATAATCGAAAATCGATCGAAAGAAGGATTAAAAATGATTATCGATTGTAAAAAAACATATTTTCGATTAATTGGAATTTTGTTGTTTTAGTTTAACACACTTGAATGAAGTAAACTAGCAATTAAATTTGAGGAATATTCACAAACAAACATGCGCTCAACAGCGTAAAGCTATGCGCATTGTAAAATTTTAACTACTTTTATTGTTTAAATACAATTCCAGTGTCTTTCTTGCATGCATGCATTTCCTTGCATTACAGTATTAGTAATAAGAAACATTTATTAGAAAAAACCTGGTGAAAAACCCTTCAAATTGGTGATTTCATTAAAAATGTATATATTTCGATTATATCGATAATCGTTCACCACAATCCTCCGATAATCGATAGTGGATTTGGTTTCCGATTCCCAACACTAGCAGGTGCCTCATAATGCATGCTGTCATCCATGGGCCCCAACACCTGCGAGGGATGAATGTATTTGATATGTCTACATCGCAATCTTTTTCGTCTTTTTGTAAGTGGGACAATTGGGCTTGAAGGGGATACAAAGAGACTTTTCTTCACTCATGATTGTTTTTTCTTACGAGCAGATCCGTAAAATAATATGCACCTCATAGTCACCTGGCCAGGATTCTGAAGCTGGACACTCACTGACCCCTGTGTTATATATATCACATACAATCTGTCACAGTGTAAGAGTGACAATCATCTATATCTAGGGTAAATAATCTTGTCTAGTGATGTTTAATTGCAAAATTGACTTCTTCACTGACAAAGTTGTTTTCACTTTCAAGGACTTATGCATGTTTGTTCTTGCATTCATAACTATATAATTACAAAACCATATGGAATTCTATTACATATGGAATTCTATTCTATAATCTGTAAGCCATTTATGTTATCTGCAACTTAGGAAACTAGTCCATTACTGATCATGGGCCTTATGATATTTTATTTTGGGGAGTGGGAGTGGTGGGGTTGGGCTATTGAAATATATACTTAAAAGAATCGTTAAGCCTGCCAATCAAATGCTGTGATATCAATTGCAATGTACATGATGGTGTGAAGGTCAAAGCGACAGCAACAAGCTCGAAATCACCACAACCAATGACATCACAATAATCTGAAAAGCATTCTGATACAAATTTTCAGCAATATCTCCTATGGTGTACTGCTTGAACTAACTCAAGCAATATCTCCTGTGGGAGACAGTTTTCATGATAAACATGATCATGCAGGTCATAAACTGTGGAGCTGTTGTCAAATATATTCATTTGTATGCAAAGATCCAAGGGCAAAGCATCAAGAATAAAAACCCTGAACCAAACACAACTGACCCTAAGGATCAAGGATGCATGAGGGATCACTCAAGCAAAACTAAAGATACTGTTTCATATATATCTTTATTACCTACCAGGGTGAAATTATCAGGGTTCATATTTTTCATACGATGCCCTAGGGCAAAATATCACTTTGCCATGGTGACGTGACGTCGTGAACAATGCTGTGACGTCACGTTTCTTCTATGACGTTGCGTTCTACATGCGGCAATGGTGGATAGCAAGCCTATGTTTGAAAGTAGATTTGGATTTTTCACAATTTGACGACTTCGGTAATAAACAGAATATTATATTTGTGCCCATGTACTATGTTTACGACACTCGTGTCTAATATCGGTATATCCCTAGCTCTCGCTCGGGAAATACCAACATTTAGCCACTTGTGTCGTAAACATAGTATGACATGGGCACTCATATAATATCCTCTATATATGTGTTAATACTATTTATTGGGTGGCGAACCGATTCCTAATCGCACCTAAAATGCTTATGGCATTCAAGACCAGAGGAAAAAGTTCTAAGCATATGGGAAACATATTGAGCTATATACCACTCGTCACACAAAAAATTGTTCACAAGTATATGCATATTTTCATCATTTGTGAGAAGAAAGGACTTGATAATCGATACGACGTAACACAACAGTAATATCTGTTTATTGTTGTTGATTATGAGACTTGGGTTCAGGAATTGGCATTTCAAGAACATCATGAAGAAACTGTGAACAGACTCTTCTTCTCTTACCAAATAATGAGTTTGCAGTTTACGAAGGTCATAATTGTTGTCTGCAACATTAAATTTATATAAACTGATTAAACACGTCAACAGGTTATTATATTACAAACACAATGTTGTGAACTAACTTCGTTCATAAAACGTACCTTACATTATCTTGCTTGAGGAGGATCAGTCGCATGCGTCACCCTTCACACACGAATGGATGTGACATGATCCGATATGTAATATTACTTCCTTGTCTAATGTAAACTCGGATGAGCTCGCGAGTCAGATTTCAGCTCCAACCATTTTCAAATTTGTACAAATATCCTTGTGTTTTGTAAAGCATCAAATATATTTTCCTTTGCTACGTTTTCATTTACTATATGACCACATCCTGGTCTTGTCAAACCACATACACGCCTGGTTGAGGATGTGTTGACGTTCCTTTCTAAATTTTGCTTCGTCTGTCACGACAAAAATTATAAACATGGAGTTACCTCCCTTGTATGAACGATAACTCTTTCATTTCCGGGAAAATGGTGACTTCATATAGTTATAGTCTGTTTCGAATATGTCGCACCATCCTGTCACTTCAGAGATTTTCAAAGCAATTTATTTTACGGAAATTAGCATATGTAAAAAACACACGCAAGTACTACGAAAAAGGTGCCAGTCAAAACGTTTCAGTGCCAAAATGGACTTAGTGTGGTTCTAACGCCGCATTCGTCAAGTCAGTGAGTAAGTGTGTTTTTACGCCGCTTTTAATGCTTGTCGTAAGAGGCGACTAACGGGATCGGGTGGTCAGGCTCGCTGACTTGGTTGACACATGTTATCGTTTTCGAGTTGCGTAGATCGATGTTCATGCTGTTGATCACTGGATTGTCTGGTCCAGGCTTGATTATTCCTAGACCGCCGCCATATTGGTGGAATACTGCTGAATGCGGCGTAAACTAAAACTCACTCACTCCTGTCGAGTTCCAGGTCAAGTTTAAACTCTATGTTTTGTTTTCCGCTGACTCGCCGGAACTGCACCTTCTTATCTATCCAATCTTCTAACTGTACGCGCCTTCCCGATCTCTCCGCTCACAGGATAAGAACTTGCTTGTTGACCCAAATGTAAAGACAGTGCGGTATGAAAACAGTTCCTTTGCCCATCCAGGATCAATGGCCTGGAACAGCCTCCAGCAGAGCCTCAGAGACTGTTGTGACTTTTCAAACCTTTAGATCTAATCTAAAAACAGACATGTTCAAGATAGCATTTCAACTGTAGCTTTTTGCCTTAATGGCATTATATATTTTGCGCCTTGAGCAGGCCTAGGCATGGATATATGCGCGGTACAAATATGCTATTATTATTATTATTATTATTATAATACTACTGACAACATCTGAATTAATCAAACTTGATGCACATATTGATGTAAAATCCACGGAAATCACGACTGTGTTCTCGCTGAATACACCTGACTAATCTTTACTTAAAAGGTTGAAAATAATACTCTATGTTCTTACAGTCGGTTAATTTTTCAACATGGACATGACAGCTGTTGCCATATCATTTAGTCTGAATGCTATAAAATCCCGGTGGTTAGCATATATAGAGGATACTAAACGACCTCACGTGTAACACCAATTTTATTAAACGAGTTAATGATTTGGTATCAAACGAGCAAAAGCGAGTTTGATACTAAATCTTTCACGAGTTTAATAAAAATGGTATTTCACGGAAGCGAGTTTAGTATTCTATTTATTACTCTCCAAAATAAACTGATAGAAACTGCCTAGAGTGTGATGACTCACATATCAATTTTCGGCGAGTCAAGCAAGGTACAGAGGCATTAGCATTGTGACGTCATAACTGTAATCATTATGACGTCATAACTGTAATCATAATGACGTCATATGTCTAGCGGTATAACACTAGTGTAATATTGCCGTAAATATATTATACTGCAGTATCTTCCACGGGCGAGTAATAAATTTATCTATCTAATAACAGGTACACATTGCTTATATTCACCAGCTAAACCATAATTAGTTCATTCTGTACCCTCGAGTGTCAACTTCTTGTTAAGTGGAAAATCACGAGACAGGAAGGATAAGAAGTATCTTCTTACTCATCTCATTTGTCATTAAGCCGAGAAATGCGTTTCAACATTTTTTTAAAATTTGGTACAATGTACTGTACACATATAATGTGACATTAATATGCACCCACCTTTGCTTGCCATTACCCTGTGAGCGTGAGTGAGTGAGTGAGTGAGTACACTAGACGCCATTGGAAACGTTACCCTCCTACCTTTATGAATTACTGAAAAACTATCAAAGATATTTTAGAAGGTTTTAGTTTACAAGAAAGCTTAACAACACAGCTTTATGCAAATCACGAAAGAAATTCTCAAATGCATTCATATTTGGATGAAATGCATCTTTTTCAGAAGAGTTAAATTGTCCTATATTCGTCCATGCCGAAATAAACCAATAATAGTGATTTTGATGTCCAAAAGAAAGGTTGAAATAAAATTCTGCTTTGGGACAATGATAAACCATTTAAAGTCACCATTTTTCAACTATTAATACAAGAAACAACTGTTGTAGAGTGTGTAAAATTGTAAAATAATCATTCCTATGATTTCAGTCTTTTAAACATTTTATGCTGATTTGCATTAGTGAAAACAAGTTAAACGTGTCTTTCATATTGTGAACAAATGTTTAGGAGGAACATCTACAATTATCTTTGTTCACATTTTTGCTTGCAAAGTAACATTTTTCCATTTCCATTTTACACATAGCAATATCATTCGCCAAAACGCAGCAATATTCAGTATTTACATCCATTTCACATGCAGAATGATTCTATAGGGTATAATGAGAGCCTAGAAAACATGATATGATACACAAGTACGAGAAATATGCCACGATTAACAGCTGAAGGGAGAGAAAGAGCCATTGGGATGGTACAGGTGGGGTCGACATACAATGCTGTTGCCAACGCCCACGGATGCCACCTTATCACGGTTATAAGACTTCTTCAGGGCTTCAGGCAGACTGGGATCACCGTAGACTGAGGCCCGCAAGCTGACGTGTGGATTCGAACCCGAGATTCATTCTGGTTATTGAGCAGCGTTTGTGGTTTCTACATGGCAATATCAGTACCTGTTTAAACTAGGATTAACAACAGTAACGACAACCTACACCACCACCACCACATCCCTTCCTCTGTGCCTCACTCGGGGCAGTAGGGTAGCCTGATGGCCTAAGCGTTAGCCCGTAACGCCGAAGACCCGGGTTCGATTCCCCACATGGGTACAATGTGTGAACACCATTTCTGGTGTCCCCTGCTGAGATATTGCTGGAATATTGCTCAAAGCGGCGTAAAACCTCACTCACTCACTGAAACTATGGTAATGTTAAATACGTTTCCCGAAGAGGGGTAAAATATTCACCTTATTAATTATGCAAAGCGCCTTAAAATCAGTATAAATGACACGAGGACAGTATTCTTAAATGTTTCAGTGAGTGTGTTTGGGTGGATGAGTTTGTTTTAACGCATCTTGAACAATCTCCCAGTTATATGACAGCGTGTCTGTTTGAGGAGGGACGGAAGCCCGAAGTGATGCAGATCTCAAACGTTTAGAACGTTGGCTGTTGGTTGTTGTTTAAAGATCACATGCAACCAAACAACAAACATAATTAAAACACAATTATCACTTATTCATGACATATAATATACATGCTCATTATGCCAAAAACAAATAAACAAAATTATAAGCGTACAATCGCAAATCAAAAGTGCAATATTTTGTACTTGGGTTTACTACCCTCGAAACGAAGCACCCGAGATACCGAACCCAGTCAGAGCGGGTGGGTATGCACACAAGTGCAAGTGTAACGAAGTCTTTCATTGGCTGGTTCCTTGCCGATACACTCAGGGCTCTTTGTGTGTTTTGGCATCCCGGTTCAAGCCGCGCGAACCTATTTCACTGCGCATGCGCTATGTGCGCAGCGCAGCACAGCTGTTGAAACCACTTTTCACCCCAGCTGGGGTGAATTTAGTGAATCGTTTGAACTCCGATTTCGCGGGGTTTTTTTCATCGCGTTATTTTTCGACTTTATTTGTTACTGTAAGTCCATACCAAAAGGTATCAGAATCTGCAAACTCGTGTGTTACGTTGCATGCGACCTTTAACGTCTCACTCAGCAATATTCCAGCGATATCGCGGCTGTCTGTAAATGATCGAGTCTGGACCAGATAATCCAGTGATCAAAAACATAAGCATCGATCTACGCAATTGGGATACGATGACATGTGCCAACCAAACCACCCGATCCCGTTAGTTGATAGAGAAGTCTTTCGCATATCGTACCCTTAAGTTCGTTTGGAATGAAACCAGGACTTCGAACGAGACAAATGAACGCTTTGATTACTAGGCTACCCCATCGCCTCTGATCAATGGAAATCCTGAAGAGGACACATGGTGTATCAGTAACAGTTGAGACAACATGACCCAAACTGCAAGTGATACATTGAATATTATTTACAGTTTATAAAGGATCTTTAAAAATGAACAAATGGCCAAAAAATAAATTAAATAATTGAACTGACTGACTGTGTTTGGTTTTACGCCGCTTTTAACAATATTCCAACAACACCACGGCGGGGGACACCAGAAATGGGCTTCACACATTGTACCCATGTGGGGATTCGAACCCGGGTCTTCGGCGTGACGAGCCAACGCTTTAACCACAAGGCTACCCCACCAACACTAGGGTACCCCACCGCTCCTAAATGATTAAAACAAAATGTACAACCATCTTACACGTTCTCACACACGTACGTACAATGGAGTTGTCTTTAAACGCAGTGTGAAATAAAGACCGATCGAAGCCCATCTCAGATTACTTGATGTTATTTATCAGTTTCACTGGAGCACATAATTACTTTCTTGGACATGATGAGCGTCTGATATTATATTACTAACCTGATATCGATCTTCCTTTCAAAGCAACGAAGGGTCGATATTAGACCTGATTGAATTTCCTTGGAATTTAATGCAAGTGTGGTGGGCAACTGGCTTTCTTCTGAACAACTTTAAATTACTTTTACTAAATGAGGCACTTTTTGTTTATCCCTCCTTCCCATAGGCGAATCCAGAGGGGTACTAAAAGGTTTGTTAATTGACCATTGAAACTCGGGTGAAAATGAAGTGTGCGCCGCTCCTTTTCTCAATAGTGTGCACCCCTCCTTTCTCAAAAAGCTGTATCCGCCCCTGCTTCCCTGGTCGTTTCCTTTACAGATCGCCGACATATAGCTGCAATATTTTAAAGAGCGGTGTTGAAAAACAATCAAACAAAAACACAAACAAAATATATGTAAACAGTTTATTTAAACATTGTTGCAAGGTCAGCAAGTTTTCAAATATGCAACGAAGTTACAGCGTGCAATGATGATGAAATTCAATGTAATACACACC